TATGACGGAGGGCTGGGGACACACTCTCTCTCTCACACACACACACACACACACACCAATGCACACCAATGCAGCTGCAAATCTTTTCTGTTGCCATCTATCATACTCCTCGTCTCATCAATATTTGATTGCTTTAGCTCTGAAACAGACTTGATCGAACTATTAATTCACAAAATACTAGATTTTTAGCACAAATGACAGTGGCACATGTGGTCTGCATTATGCATGAGCCTGGTCCCCTTCTTACACACACACACACACACAGACGGTGTGTGACATAGTGACCGGCTTCAGTGTAATCCATCAGACAGTGCTTTCATTAAAGACGTTGGCTCTGCATCAGTTGTCATCTCTTGCTGATGTAACGGTTAGGAGAAAGGATATTACTGTCACCTATAAGGATATTACTGCAGTTCAGTAATCAGGGTTGGATCTTTTGTTTCGAGATTGACATGTTTATGCTGCTTTTATTTGCTTACAAGATACAGTAGGAAATATTATTGTGAGTGAGCTTGTGAAAATTGGGTAAAACCTTTACCTAGTTATCTCCTCAGACAAATGGTTTATTCTGTTGTTTCTGCTCTTTGAAAAAATTACAAAACTAATTTCTGTGTTTTTTAATTGATCAGGAGATTTAAGTAAATGTCACAGCGACCTTCAAATTCAGTGTTTTTCTGGGCCTTGTTATGAGGGGGTCCTACTTAATGTGTCTATACATTTCATTTTGTCCTGGTCCTTATGGCTGCATTTAAGTATTTTTGTTTGGAACCAGTATGATACATGTTATTTTTATGTTTAGATGTTTTATGATTGAAAAGTGCCAATATTCATAACCTATATGCATAACCCATGATAAAAATGACTCCAAAAACCATAATGCATTATGAATGTATTATTATTATTATTATTATTATTCCATCTAAATGGTCTCAAATTAAAACTTAAAATTAAACTTAAAAATAAAAATTGTATTATTTTTGTGCTGTGTATAACTATGTATAACATTTTAAATATGTTGCTCACATGAGAATGAAAAAGGTTATGTATATTTATTGTACAATTAATGTATAAGTAATTTTCTTACAGAGAAACACACCAAATGGTGTTATTTAGCAGTGCACTCTATATTAAAGAGTATAAAAGTGTAAATATCATTCAGAATATTTGTCAAAACATGATCAGTGTATTTTTCAAGAAAATATACATATATTTTGGTCAAAATGAACAGTCAAAAAGAAAGAACTGTCTTTTATTGTGATTCTTGATGGGTGATATAGTAGTGTCTCATGTTTTGTTTAAGATTTAAGATCAGTTTTGTTACTCAGGATTCTGGTGTGTTTTGTTTTTCCTTTAGACGAGCAGGAAGCTGTGCAGAAGCGAACGTTCACAAAATGGATCAACTCTCATCTAGCAAAGGTGAGCCGAGTCGTGTGTGAGATTTCTGAACCAACATGCATCCATTCATGTGTGAGAGAAAAAAAGCATCTGAAGCCTGTTATAGCCCCTTCTCTCCAAAGTGCAGAATTAATCTGTCACAAGACCGGTGGCACCAGTCCAGGTCCAACGTGAACATACACTTTAATCTCCTCTTTAAATTACTGTGCCTCATTTGACCAGGGTACAGTCAGTCTTCTGACAGGATTTACCTATAGGCAACTATGCAACAGTACAGCATTATGTAATGAAAAAGATGCTGTGTCACAGTCTTGTGCAATATTGTACTTACAGAAGACTTAACAGAATAGGAATTTACAGGTTATGATTATATAAAAACACTATTGTAACCCAGCTTTTTTTCTTTTTAAGAAAAGAAATATTTTTAATTACAATATTTATTTTTTTTGTAACAAGTGCTATCAGTTGAGCTTAACTTGTATTGAACCCAAAATATTCTGTTAAATCATTTACATTTCTATTATCACAGTAGGGACATTATTAAAAGCTTACCCAATGACAGGTGCTTGTATAAATTTGCATGATAAACGGGACACATGATATGCATGTAATAATAGCTTGATGGCTTATTGATTTGTGTGTAAAGAGTGACTGGTCAAGCCATTTTTTAAATTAGCCGCCACTCCAGATAATTCCAGTATGATCAACCAAGACCTGACTTGGCTAATCTTCTGTGACGAGGAGCAGGAAATTCATTTGAAATATCAATCAGTGGGGAATACGTCTTGACGTGGCATTTTGTATTAGGTTGCACACCAGTGCCTCTCCAGCGTAAAATGTTAACCACAGAAGATTTGAGGTTCGTACGCTCCCTAGCCGTTATTTATTTATCTGTTTGCTCATTACCATCTGTCATGGACATATTGGACCGGTCAGTTAGAGTTGGCAGTGAGATTCACAGCATCAATGTGCTTCAAGACGACAGTCTTATGAATTAGTTTATGCTTTGATTGTTTCTCTGACAGGAATCATAAACAGCTACTGCATGGATAGATGCGTTCTGGTGTATAAACACGCAGATTTTAAAGCGTATTTACGAGCAGATTCTATATAGGCAGATATAGTTTACATAAAATTCTAGTATACAACTTTGTTTAGCCTTTGTTTTTATGCTGTAGTGTTATTTTAGTATTATTTGTTTAGTATGTACAAAAATGTTGTAAATGTTTGATTCTTTGATGAATGAAAAGTTAAAAAGAACAGCATTTATTCAAAATAGAAAACTTTTCTAACAATATTAGTCTTTAAAAATGTTACAATTTAAAATGTACTGACCCCAAACTTTTGAATAGTAGTGTATATTGTAACACAAAATTTATATTTTGAATGAACGCTGTTCTTTTTAACTTTTTGTTTATCAAAGAATCACAGGTCCCAAAAAATATTAAGCAACTGTTTGCAACATTGATTATAAATCAGCATGTTAGAATGATTTCTGAAGGATCATGTGACACTCAAGACTGGCACTATGATGCTGAAAATTCAGCTTTGCTTCACGTGAATAAATTATATTTTAACGTATATTAAATAGAAAACTGTTATTTTAAATTAAAAAATAAATAATACAAAATTCTGTATTTTTGATCAAATAAATACAGCCTTGATGAGCATAAGAAACGTCTTTAAAAAACATTAAAAATTTTACTGATCCCAAACATTTGAATGTCACTGTGTATATGACAAAAACTAATAAAATTGCAATAGCACATTTTTTTAAACATATTTTTTAAATATATTTTTTTAAATAATATATTATTTAGCTGTAATTTTATTTTTAATTTTATTTATTTTAATTTATTTATTTTTTTAGTCATTTTAGGGGTTAACTAACTTGTGTATTTCAGTTAGTTGCCAACATTTTTAATTTTATATAAATTGTATTATTTGTTAAGCTAGTTTCATTTAAATTGAGATAAATTTGTGAATAAACATTTTTTGTGATGGTTTATTAAAGGCAAAATTATAAAAGAAAATTGAATCTGGATCAGAACAAGATTTTGCTTTTAGTGGACTGCATTGAAGAGATAAAATAAAACCTTGCCATATATTAACTTGGACCTGCAATCCTATTGTATGAAAGAGATGTGACATGATCCTATTGCTTCAATAGACATGAGACTTTTTTCATGAAACGTGTGTGCAGGAAGGACAGAAATGGAGATCGTCTAATTAAAATTGCAAATAGAGAACTATTTGAACTGGTTCTACATCTGTCAGAATCAATTACATTCATTGTATCTTGCAAATCCAAATAATTTGTTCAATAGCCGAATAGCACCACGCCATCCCTGGCACCCGCTGTTCCCACTTCTTTACTGTTGCCCTTTAACCTCATCCTGCTGCTGAATGATGTTGCCTTGGTGACAGCACTCTCAAGTATTTGAGGGAGAAGTTTGAGAATGCATGTGCCAAATAGCAGGGAATCAATGTGACTCTTATATTGTTGACAGGATGATTTTAGACTGTATGTGCTATTTTAGTGATCACTGTTTCAAGCAGGTTTACATTTGGGTTTCAGGTATTTCTGGTCAAAATATCTCTCTAGCCCTCCACCAGATCGCTAATGCAAATCATCTGGAGTGATTTTCCAGCTCCATAATTCATAGCCCAAAGGCTTCGGATTAATTCTTAGCATGTGTATGATAACACAGAATGAGAATTACACACCGCTTCTATCGCTCCTCTCATTTCTTTATAGAAGTATCAATAGAGTATTAGAGAATACGCCCACAGGTCCATGATAGATAATGAAATGTAATTAGGTGTACAGAGTAAATTAGGTCCGTTAGTTCCAAGTTTCACTAGTGAGTGATGGAGATGTTGCATTGAGGCCTTACAGCCTTTTGACAGAATTTCAAGTTTCAAGAAAGAATCATTCATTTGACCCAGATCTTTTTAATAATTCAGTTGATCCAGTTCAAAGAACCATTCTGAATGATTCATATATGAATCAGACTCTGGAACTCGCTGGAGTTCACTGGAGGGGAAGATTGTTAGTGAATAATTTGTGTTTGTTTCTCACCTGAAGGTATGATATGACTTTGGTGGACTTGAAACATAGCATGCCTAAATTTAATATAAAAGTGTATGGACCTTTTGTTTTAGGCTTGAAACCTCCAGTCCTTTTTCAGTGTAATTGTATGGACAAGAGTATCCAGTACATGCTTTCAAAATTTCTCCTTTTGTGTTCTATTCAATTCAAACCGATTCGGAACAACATGATGACAGAATTTTCATTTTAGGGTGAACTGTTTCTTTAACTCACAGAGAACACTCTGTGCACATCATAGAAAATTGAAAAGGTGCAAACTTCTTACAAGATGCTCAACTGCTCAGCCTTAAACCAAGATCCTGGTTCAACCCAATAATCAATTCCCACAGAATTGATCAGCATTGCATTAAAAGATTTACCAAAATCCTCATACTCCAAACCATTCATTAAAAGATACCATCACAGGACGCATAGTGCCTCAGGTCTCTTTACTCATGCATGTGCTTGCAAATTTGAAGGACATCAGAGAGGAAGGACTGAAGCACTAATCTGCCTAAGAGCTTCAACTTGATTAGCCACTAGAGACCGAGAGAGAGAGAGAGAGAGAGAGAGAGAGAGAGAGAGTGCGATTGAAAGAAAGGGAATGCGAAAGAGGCCACCCTCCATTTCAATTTTGACAAATCCTCTCAGACAGGGTTAGGGCTTAATTATGGCATGCCCAATATTGAGGATGAGCTCGTTTCTCATGTGTTTGACAGATAGCATGGGTGAGCAGCACACAGCAGCCGCCCGGACACCCTGCTGCCTGCACCTGCTTTCTCGCTAGACATATATCAACACCCCATCAGGTTTCTCTCTGAATTATGAAATTCAGTAATCAGTGCCCACAGATTCACAAACTTTAACCTCGATTTAACAATCAGTGCTCACAGATTAGAAAGCAGTAACCTCAATTTTGTCATTTGTATTGTTCATAAACTGCACCCACTGCTTTTTAGATGGGTCCCTTAGTTAAGGAATCTGGGCGGTTCTCTGTAATCTTTTCCTTAGTTCCTTTAGAAGAGCTCTGTACTTTCATAATAATGACAATAAAATATAATTTCTGATTTATAAAAAATATTGTCTAAATTTGGGGATGCTTTTGGGGATGCAGGGATATGCTAGACTAGAGGGTCCATGGAAAGTTTGAGTGAAAAACAAACACAAATATAAAAAATGTATTTTAGGGCAGTCAATATTTAATGTTAATTTTGATGTAGATTATAATAAAGATGAAGTTAATTATATTTATTATGTTAAAGATTATTCGCTGTTAAAAGTGCTGTACAAATGATTCTGAACTGAATTTTTTTTTCATTGTTGTATATCTAGTGGGTAGGAAAATGGCATACTACAAAGTAAATATTTTTCAAACAAAATTTTTTAATATTTAGCTTTGGCTTTTCCAGTGACAATATAAAAGTCAACTATTTAATTTTGTAAACAATATGTCCCTATACTTTAATTCTGTCATCTCTTTACTTACTCTCATGTTGTTCTGAAACCTGTATTTTATTTTATTTTATTTTATTTTTGACTTTGGGACTTGATTTGATTTGATTTTCCATACAGTGAAAGTCAGTGGGTTCCAATATTGTTTGAACCCCATTATTAAAATTAATCTATAAAATAAATGTAAATCAGATTTTTGATGTTATGACATGATTTTAAAAATGATTTAGTGGACAATGTGCAGTTGAACAGTATTATTGATACTCTCAACCTTAATTGAACTCGTGTCTGCCCCCTAACAGTGTCTCTCTGATCTCTGACTGATATTGAAAACAGTTCGAGTGGCCTTCAGGCGTTTGTATGTTCACATGAACTTTGATTGGGTTGCACAGAACATGCAGCTACCGTAGCTAAACGCTGTCACTCCACTGGCTGAATACATCAGCAACGCCTGCCATGACAATCTATTTCCATCAGTAATAACCAGACACAGATAATTAGTTTGTTAAGCCCTGCTGGTTGTGCCTTTGTGTTTTTTCCTCTTATTTTCATTAGTTGCATAATTACTCAAAGTGCCTCTTTTTAATTTAATATCCTATAAGGTGATTTTATCCAATTAGCTTTTGAATTATTTAGAGCTAATTAGAATATCTTAGCAATTCCTCCTCCTGCTCTCTCAAAAATACTTCAAGAATTAATCTTTTAAAAACATCACTCACTTCCCCTTTCTGCCTCTAATTAAGGTCATCCCACAGTCGTTTCTCTTGAAATCGTTCACTTTCACTCTTAAACTACTTTTTTCTCTCTCTATTTTTCCATTCTTTTGAAATATAAGTCCCCACCCCCTCTACATCTCTCTCTCACACACGCACACACACACACATACACACTCACTTTCACTGTTTCATATTAATCTCCTCATGAATGATTTTGCCACCCGGCTGCTTTCCACTCCAAATCCCAGTCATGTAACTGCTGTCTTAAGAGAAATCCTAGATGTGTTGTCCGGGTAAAGAGGGGCTGTGTGGATGGATTAGTGGAGGGGCTTCATGGGGTCAGACAGACTGTGTCGTCTCTACAATCAGCACTTTTACTCTTTAAGCTATTAATCTTTTAAAAACATCACTCACTTCCCCTTTCTGCCTCTAATTAAGGTCATCCCACAGTCGTTTCTCTTGAAATCGTTCACTTTCACTCTTAAACTACTTTTTTCTCTCTCTATTTTTCCATTCTTTTGAAATATAAGTCCCCACCCCCTCTACATCTCTCTCTCACACACGCACACACACACACATACACACTCACTTTCACTGTTTCATATTAATCTCCTCATGAATGATTTTGCCACCCGGCTGCTTTCCACTCCAAATCCCAGTCATGTAACTGCTGTCTTAAGAGTTGCTGTCTCTACAATCAGCACTTTTACTCTTTAAGCTTACGACTGACAACACTAATATTCACTGGGTTTAATCTATAAAGCTCATTCAAACTCACATCACATCTATCTATCTATCTATCTATCTATCTATCTATCTATCTATCTATCTGTCTGTCTGTCTGTCTGTCTATC